GAAACTCAATGACATTATTACCTTTTACCAGATTTCAAAACCTATAAAAGCTCAACGCTCTTTAACAATGCTTTGCGGATTCCATGTCTATTTCAGACAGCTAAGAGGATGATATGATTGTTAAGATAGATTTCAATTATTAATCGATGGTCGACATGCTCTAGTTTTCTGCTAGATCAAATATTTCTAACGAGATCGATGAACTTCTCGCTTCTTACACACGTAAAGCACTAGTGAGATTTTAAAGTCTGCTATTTGCTATGCTCTGTATATAAACATCATTCAGTAGTAATAAGTGACGCAGATTTTTAGTCCGAGTACCTCGTTGAAATGTGGGAGTCCGGAGGAGGGGTTGCTTCTCATGTCAACACGGCCTGCTCAAAGATCACGCTGCAGCGACGTAAATCGATGCTCCTTCCCATGCGCGGTGAAGCCAGTAGGAGTTGCAAAGTAATCCGTAGGAACTCAAACATTGCTTTAGATTCAATTAGTAATGTAAGTTCGCTTCATCAGAGACGATTCAGTTAGAAACCTTGAACCATGCGAGAGCTTTACATAGTATCAAGGTCCCTTATCACCTTATACAAACCAATTGTTTTCTATTTTCACCAATTTTTAAGTGCATCATAGGAATGTTCTTTATACTCTTGCTACGCCATTCTCGACAACTATCAAAGATTGTAATAAAATAACCTACCATTGTAAATATACTGATAAAGACTCACTTATCATAGTTTCGTTGTATCCCAAGAAAAAAAAGGTTGTTGTCGATGAAGGTTGTGTCATGGAATTGTCAAGCACACAAAATTGTCGATGTCGTTTCACTCTCGTCAAGTCGGAAAAAAACAAGCTTTTAACGCGTGATTCCATCTTTCCTCTGAGTAGTTCAGTTAGGTTGTAAAGTTGTATTTTTGGTTAACGAGTAAAGTCATTTAGTCAAAATGGCCAAGGCGGCAACCACAGGAAGAAGCAGCACGAAACACTAATTTCGTATTTCTCTTTCGCATTTGCCAAGTTCTCTAGAAAAAAAAACAATAGAGGTTTTTTTGCAGAAAATGACTGATAACGTAGGAACAATGCGATATAGCATCAACTCTAACGAGGCAATCTACTCAACAAGGCAAGGGATTATTTTGGATAGTACCAGTATTTCCGCCACTATCCAGTCTTCACATTGCTGTTTTGGATCAAAGTTGAACTTTCAAACATTTTTTTCGTGGTATGCCTCCATTTTTAACAGAGGAACGTCTACAACTCCTCCAAGAGGAACGGTTGGCAATCTCGCATCTAGTTATGAACATGGCTTTTTGGAGCGCCGCCTTAGCGAAGCATCTTTTGTTCGTAAGCTTATTTCTACTTAGTGTAAGCTAGGTGTGTAATAAATATTAACAAGTTTCCGCGTCATAAAAAATCAACATTCAAAGACGTCTAAGCAAAATTCAAGCATGAATTTATCGGATGGCACGTGCCAACAGCGTTAGCAGGCATAAATTACAGGGATTTAAACAAAGGAACAAATCAGCGCTAGCGCCGCTAACGTAAAATTATCGCCATCATGATGACGTAGAATTGATGCTGCTGACGCATAACTACCCATGTTTTAGTTCCAGTACCTGTTGAAGTGTTGACGAAGCAGTCACTCTTGGAATGTCGATCACATGCATTCGTTACT